GGTGCTTAGCTTTGCTACGACTTGATATGCCATGTTTTATTGATACTCATGGGAGACCTGTCTTTTCCTAAACAGCAACAGAGGAGGAGTGGATTGGTGGAACAAAGAGGGGTGGGAGCGAAGGGACTGGGAGGAGAGGAGGGAGGGAAAACTCGAGCTGGGGTGTAAAACAAATAAACTCATATAAAAAATTAAGCTGGGTGGAGTGGCTCATGCTTGTGATCCTGGAACTTGGCAGGATGAAGTTAGGAAGACTATAACAAGTTTGAGGCCAGCATGGGTTACACATTGAATCCAAAGCTGGCAAAAGGTTTATAATGAGAGCCCCCCTCAAATATCAAGCAGCTTGGAGTGGTGGTATACCTGACAAACAAACAGAAGGGCACAGCAACAACATGAATGGCACAGAGTCCACTCAGCCCAGTGTTGTGGCACACACCTATAATCCTGGTACTTGGCAGGTAGAGAAAGGAGAATCAGAAGTTCGAAGCCAGCTTAGGCTATTTGAGACCAAGAGAGGGAGCAGGGAAGGGGGGAAGAGAGAAAAGAAGGAGAGGACAAAGAGGGAAGGGAGAGAAAGGAGCCAAGAAGGGAGAGGAGAACATATGAGCTATCAAGGCCAAAAGTAGTTGACAGGAAAAATATTCTATTATATACAGATAAACAATAGGAAAATTGAAAACACATTTAGAAACAGGCAAAGGATTTCTGCAAAAACAAAACCTGACATGGACCAACATGAGACTAGAAATAGTTTTTACATAATCCACCTTGGGTAAATGCACACACATTTCCTGCAGACACATCCAAGCTTTTCATTATGGGCTTCTGTCTGTGGTATTATATATGATACATACTACATTCTTCATTGTAAAGTTGTCAAATTTGCCAAACCTTAAAGTAATATATACACCCAGTGCAATCCAACCTAATGTTCTAATGTTTTTCTCCTGAAACTGGATGAACTTATTTTAAGTTCACAAGAACCAATTCATGTTTAAGAATAGCTAAGAAAAAGAACATCAGGAACTTGGCTAAAGCTTTTTTAAAATTAAAACTGACCACAAAATCACTGTCATTAAAAATAATAGTATTATCCCTGTGTGGTAGTACATGCTTTAAATTGCAGCTCTTGGGAGAAAGAGGCTGGTGGACCTCTGAGTTTGAGGCCAGCCAGGGCTACACAGTGAGACCTCATCTCAAATATATATATGGCTGGAGAGATGGCTCAGTGGCTAAGACCACTTGCTTCTCCTTCTAGAGATCCTGGCTTCTATTCCCAGTGACCACACGGTGGTTCACAACCATCTGTAACTCCAATTCTAGGGGATCCCGATACCCTTTTCTGGCCTCCAAGGACACCAGGCATGTACACAATACACAGATATACATACACAGACAAAATCCCCATTCCATACACATAAAAAATGAAAACATACACACGTAGTGTTAAATGTAGCACAAATGGAGCCAGTCAGCAGAATGCAAGAGGAAGTCCAGGACTAAATTTAAGTATATATGGGAACCCAATCTGTAAAAAGAGTGGCATTTCAAATCAGTGTTGCTTTTTTTTTAATTCATTTAAAAATTATATTTTATGTGTATGAGTGTTTGTGAACCACTTGCTTGCCTGGTACCTGTGGAGGTCAGAAGAGAGCAATTGGAGCCCCTAGAACTGGAGTTATATAGATTGTTATGAGTGCTAGAACTGAACCCAGATTCTCTGCAACATCAGCAAATGCTCTTATCTGCTGAGCTATCTCAGCGTGATTGTTTTCAAAACAAGTGATGTTGGCATAATTGACTAAATTATTATTACTGATATTGTTATTCTTTTATTGGCCATCCTACAGCTTGAACCTAGGGCATCAATATACTAAACAAACCCTCTACCACTGGGCATTATTTCTCCAACCTCTTTTTCATTTTCTGTTTTTTTTTAAATTTATTTTATTATGTTTATTTATGTGTGTGTTTGTGTGTATATATACGCGTGTGCATGCATGCGCACACAGAGCCAAGGAGGCCGGAAGAGAGCATCAACCCTTTGGAGTTACAGGCAGTTGTGAGCTGCTAGATTGGGGGTGCTGGGAACCAAACTCAGATCCTTCAAAAAAGATCAGTCTGAGTTCTTAACTGCTGAACCATCTTTCACACCCACACCTTTTCTTTCTTTTTAAAAAAATATTTTTTTGCCAGGCAGTGGTGGTGCATGCCTTTTATCCTAGCACTCAGAAGGCAGAGACAGGTGGATCTCTGTGAGTTCAAGGCCAGCCTGGTCTACAAGAGCTAGTTCCAGGACAGGCTCCAAAACCACAGAGAAACCCTGTCTCATAACCTTGGCTATCCTGGAATTCTCTATGTAGATTAGGCTAGCCTCAGACTAATAGAGATCTGCCTGCCTTTGCCACTTGAGTTCTGCAGTTAAAATTATGTCTCACCAGGCCTGGACCTTGCCAGTCTAAACAAGTCCAAAAAATCACAGAGTCAAATTGTTTGGGGAAAAAAATCCTTGGAGCCAGATCATCAACTGCCCAAGTTCAAATCTTGGTCTTCCACCATCTATGTGACATGCCCAAATCTTATACCCTCCTAGGCCTGTTTATCTATTTTATGGAAAACTAATAATTCATCTTTTTAAGAGACCAAGCTGGCCTTGAACTCACAGACATCTGCCTTCTCTGTTTCCCAAGTACTGGGATTAAAGGCATGCGCCACCACCACCTAGCTAAGATTATCATGACAATTAAGTATATTCATTAAATGGCCCATTTAGCTATTTATGATTATTATGATGTGAATAAAATGCCTCAGTCATCCCAAATGGGTACAAAAGTTCTCTAAGGCTGCAAACTGTATGACTTCATAACATTTTTATGACAAAAAAAAAAAAAAAACCTTGCTGAGTTGGCAAGATGGTACAGTGGGCAAAGGTTCCTGCTGCCAAGCCTGATGACCTGAGTGTGATCCTCAGGATTCACATGATAGGAAAGAACTGACTAACTACCACAACTTGTTCTCTGGCCTGGCGGTGGTGGCGCATGCCTTTAATCCCAACACTCGGGAGGCAGAGACAGGCGGATCTCTGTGAGTTCGAGGCCAGCCTGGTCTACAAGAGCTAGTTCCAGGACAGGAACCAAAAGCTACAGAGAAACCCTGTCTCGAAAAATAAAAACAAAAACAAGTTGTTCTCTGACCTCCACATATGTGCAAGTGTGCACATGCACAGACACATAGACACACACGCACGCACGCACGCACGCACGCACGCACGCACGCACGCACACACACATCAAAATGTGATTTAAAAACTTGCTGAGAAGCCGGGCGGTGGTGGCGCATGCCTTTAATCCCAGCACTCGGGAGGCAGAGGTAGGCGATCTCTTTGAGTTCGAGACCAGCCTGGTCTACAAGAGCTAGTTCCAGGACAAGCTCCAAAACCACAGAGAAACCCTGTTTCAAAAAAACCAAAAAAAAACAAAAACAAAAAACAAAAACTTGCTGAGTGTTGAATGTTGCTGGGTGTGGTGGCACACACTTGTATTCCCAGTTATTAATAAGACTGAGGTGGAAGAACTGGTAAGTTTTAGGTCAGCCTAGGAAACTTAGTGAAACCTATCTTAAAATAAAAAAAGGTAACGTGCAGTTTGGTGGTATAACACCTGCGTAGCAAACATATGGCCTGGCATTCAATTCTTAGTAACAAAAGAAACTAACAGCCAGGCAGTGGTGGCGCACGCCTTTAATCCCAGCACTCAGGAGGCAGAGGCAGGCGGATCTCTGTGAGTTCTAGACCAGCCTGGTCTACAAGAGCTAGTTCCAGGATTGGCTCCATAGCTACTGAGAAACCCTGTCTCGAAAAAAAAAAAGAAAGAAAGAAAGAAAGAAAGAGACAGACAAACTAACAACATGGCAAAGCAGGCAGGTCCTTTGGAAAAGCAGAGATGGGAGGATCGCTGTAAGTTTGATGCTAGCCACAGCCACATTTACATGGCAAGTTCTAGGCTATCCAGGGCTATATTCCATAATTGTTTCAAAAAATTCCAAAGCCAAAGCCAAATTCAAACCCATAATAATGTTAAAGACAGAATACACTGAGTGGTGCTGTAGAGATGGCTCAGAAGTAACTGGCTGCTTCTCTAGAGGACCAGGGTTTGATTCCCAGCATGCAGAGAAGGTGGCTCACAACCATCTGTAATTCCAGTTCAGGGGATCCTATGCCCTCTTGTGGCCTTCTTGGGTACCAACCATGCATGCAGTGCACAGACATATATGCAGGCAAAACATCCTATATGTAAACAAAACAAACAGACAAAACCCCCCACTACTAGCACCAAAAGACTACCAGAATGCACTGGAGCTGAAGTGTGGCTTCACGGCATCCATGGCACAGGGTTTGCCTAATGTGAGTGAGCAAGGCCTGTCTTTCATGTCTAGCACTGCAAAAAAGACAAGACTGTACAACACCCTGTACCTGCAGCCCCTCATCCAAAACCCATTAACTTTTTTTAAAATTACATTTGCTTTATTTCATTTCTTTTACATATAAACACATTTTTGTAAAATTATTTGGAGACACCATGCACTTCACTACTTCCTACTTAAATGGGATTTCCCCCAAGAGCATGAATATTTTTCAACAGCCCTGAAAACATTACTGCGCCACCATGTTTTCAAATTAATTGCCAATATGATCATATAGGCTGAATATTCCTAATCTTCAAAACCCAAAACTTGAATTACTTTGTAGTAGTTTTGTTTTGAGATAGGGTTGCTTTTGTAGCTAAGGCTAGCCTTGAACTTGAGTTTTAAAATATCTAACTACCATCATTATAACAAACTTTTTGGGGTGTTAGTGATGATTGAACCCAGGTCTTCAGACATAATTTAAAAGAAATGAGTCCCTGTGGCCTGCCAGGAGTGTACTATAAAGTGTAGGATTATGATCTATGAGAAAAGCTGGATCTCAAGGTAGTAGTCCTCTGACACTGAGTACTCACTGTCCTCTGAGGGCCGAATGTCTACGCGCAACTGCAGGTAAGGTTTGGAGGCAGTGGCGAAAGCTGTGCTGAGGTCCCAATCAGAAAGGAGAGAGAGGAAAGCTTCCTGTCCTAGCCGGTCACGCGCCAGGTAGCTGATGCCAAAGTTCTTCTTCCTGGACAAAGGATATGAAGGAGCTCTTGGGATCCCCAGTTCCCCAGCAACTTCAGGAACAGTTTACAAAACAAGGAAGGTAGTGAGAAAGGTACCGAAAACAGCTTCCTTCTATTTGCTGGGAACTATGCCGAGGATTACAGGCAGCCTGAGGTTGTTAGGCCATTTCTACCCACTTTGTTACATGAACACAGAAACAGATCCGCACCTGCTTATATCTGGAGGGCACATTGAACACTGGTAAGATGCTGGTACCCTCTAGGGATGCTAACAGTGCAGCTGGGGGTTAGAAGTGGGAAGAAAGCAGCCTTCTTACTACATTTAAAAAAAGCAATCTGTATGTTTCTTATTTTTCACAACAGAATGTTAATGCACAAATGTACAATAAAACTAAGAATTTATTCTTCAGATACCTGTGCAAATACAAAGAAGTATTTTGTGTGATGATCACTGTAAACCCAGAATCATCCTAAATATCAACTTCATACTTTTTTTTCTTTTTTGATGTTTTGAGACATGGTTTCTCTGTGTAATGGCCGTGGCTGTACTGGAACTTGATTTGTAGACTAGTCTGGCCTCAAATTCGCAGAGACCTGCCTGCCTCTGCTTCCTAGTGCTGGGATTAAAGGCATGAGCTACCTGCCCAGCTGAATTTTTCTTTTAAGATTTTTATTTATTATGTATACAGTGTTCTTCTGTCTTCATATATGCCTACTCGCCAGAGAGGGCACCAGATCTCATTACACATGGTTGTGAGCCACCATGTGGTTGCTGGGAATTGAACTCAGGACCTCAGGAAGAGCAGTCAGTGCCCTTAACCTCTGAGCCATCTCTCCAGCCCCTCTGAATTTCATACTATTTAAATTTGTTACCACAGGGCTGGAGAGATGGCTTAGTAGTAAAGAACACTGTCTGCTCTTCCAGAGGACCCAGGTTTAATTCCCAGCACCCGCATGGCAGTTCACAACTGTCTGTAACTCCAGGTCCAGGGGATCTGACACCCTCACATCAATGCACATAAAATAAATAAGTTAAATAAATTTTAAAAATTGTTAGCACAATCATATATTCCTCCAGAATAACCTACCACAACAAAATAAACATCACATCTGCCCCTATGAGATACCAACTGTCAGCCACCAGACGGACAAATTTTATAATTCTCCTGTCTCAGCCTCCAGAGTACTGTGATCACAGGTACGTATCACCATGGTTGGTGAAACAAACCTCTTACTTTTTTTTTGAGAGAATGTCTCTCTGTGTATTCCTGGCTGTCTTGGAACTCACCACGTATAGCAGGCTGGTCTTGAATTGTCAGAGATCTGCCTATCTTTGCCTCCAGAGTGATAGGACTAAAGGTGTGGACCACCACATTCAGGAAAAACATTTTCTATACTGCTGCTGAGGCTGAACTGGTAAAACGTGTCTGGAGAACCATTTTGGAAACATTCCGTGAACGTTTTAAAAACACATGCCCTGTAGCCCAAAATACTTCCGCTAGTTTATCTTATGACATTTCCCCAATACTCCCAGCAAGATACGTATATTCATCGTGGAATTATTTGAAAAAAAAAAAAAACCAAACCCACAAAAGACAGACAGTTGCTGTTGAGATGAGCAGCCTGCTTCATCCGCCCACTCACCCGTTCAAGTCAAAGGCGCGGATGAGGATGTGCTGCAGCACGTCCAGTGAGGTGATCTGAGGATCTACAGCAAAAGAGCGGAACTCAGGTGACAAGAAGCTCTCACATTTCTGGGGAAAGAAGACAAGGGGTAGGCCATGAGGGGCCACAGCACCATTCAGAAGAGTGGGTGAGGTACAGAGTGGCAGAAAACAGGGACCAAATTTAGATGGGATGCTCTTGGCCATAGTGGAGACTCTTGCTTTTGTTCTAAGGGGAAGGTACAGGCAGTTTCTGGGCAAAGAAAGAATGGATGTTTCCTTAGAATTTTAAGGCAGTGGTGGCACACACCTTTAATCCTAGCACTCAGGAGGCAGAGACAGATGAATCTCTGTGAGTTCGAGGCCAGCCTGGTCTACAGAGCTGGTTGGTTCCAGGACAGACTCCAAAGCTACAGAGAAACCCTGTCTCAAAATTCCCCCACCCCCAAAAAAGACAGGAACAGACAAGCAGGAACAAAGCTACCGCAATAGTCCAGGTGTCCAATCCTTCAAGAGTCCCTTAACTATGGTTGCCAGAATCACCATATACAGTCTGACCACAACAAAATCAGTCTCCTATACTGTAATCAATCTAGCAAATCTACCTCTAACACCCCCATGATTAAATGTTTTCAAGAGCTTCCAGGCAGTGGTGGCGCACACCTTTAATCCAAGCACCCAGGGAGGCAGAGGCAGGCTGATCTCTGTGAGTTCAAGGCCAGGCTGGTCTACAGAGTGAGTTCCAGAACAGCCAGGGATGTTACAGAGAAACCTTGTCTCAAAAAAAACAAAAACAGAAACAAAAGTTTTCAACAGCAAACCTGGGGTTCCAACGTAGTCCTCTCTCCACCCAGATTTATTTTGAACTTTATGCTCTAGTAGTAGCAAACTGTTGGGAGTTACCTTGACTACATTCTTCCTCCGGCCCTTTGTGTGTGCTTCATCTCCCTTGCTCTGAACATCCTTCCCACTACTTCATCTGGCTCACTCACTACATCTTTGCCTATTACGCGGAAGTGATCTGTTGACCTTTTCATCACTGCCAGTGCCACCACTCCAGTGTGAGCTTGCTCGAATTATTGCAACAAGTTCCTTCCTCAGAGTATGCATCCCAGGCTGTCCACCTGCCCTTCTCTCTCCTGACTGTCCTATCACTTTTGCCCTCGGTCCTCCTTCTCCAACAATATGGGAACCCACAGGAACAGACCAAACTAGTCTCCACCTCCTAGCCTTTTCTCTTGCTGTCCCTTCTACCTAGAGCTCTTCACCCACCTTAAATGCACATAGGTGACTCTTTTATTCAGGTCTCTGTGACTTCAATCCCTTTTGGGGAATTTTCCTACACGACTTTGTGTAAAGAACTCCCTAGAATCTAACTTTTCCTATTATGTTCTCAAGATACTCACCAGTGTCCAAAACATATCATTGAACTGTTTTTGCCCCCCCAACACAAGCACGTGGGCTCAGGGGTGGGGACATGCACGAAAGTGCACTCTCCAAAATGTTGACTGACTTTAGGACTCCCTCTTCTGACAGCAACAGCACCTCCTTCATTCCTCTGGACTCCTGAGGCCCCTCCTCTAACCCTCCAACCAACCTCTCTACCCATAGGCTCCACCCCTCCACTCCAGCAGCCCTTTCCCCTCTATTTCCAGTTACACACCCAAGGATATGTCCCCAAGACCCATGTCTTCATTCTCCCATTATTCTGCTCTCAAATCTCGCCCCCCCCCAGTCTCCCAGTAATGCCCCAGATTTCAGGTCCTGCCCTCTATCCTAGACAGCCACCATCTTTTCGCCTATTGGGTGCCCAGGCAGGCTGGCCGACCAGCCACCAGCCTCACCTTGACTCGGACCCGTACCACCTCTCGCTCCTCCTCCTCAGCCGCCGCTGCCACCTGGGCACCCCCGACGGGTGAGGGCGCTGCAGAGCAAGCCAAGTCCGAGGCTGCGGAAGGTGTTGCCATCCCGCCGGTAACTGTCGTCTCTGTCTATGTGACAGTTGACAGTAGCCCCCTACCCTAACGAACACCCTACAGTGCGGGCGCGCGGCCCCACCTAGCACCAGAGCGCAGGCGCAAAGGGTTCTGAACCCTGCCCCTCCTCCTAGCCTGGAGGTCGCCTCTGAGCATGCGCCTAGAGGGCTCCTGCCAGGAACCCCGCCCCCCAAAGTCGTGAATTTAGCGTTTTTCTGCCTGTGAGGTAGTGCCTGCTTAGGTCCCGCCTGTCCTGGTCCCGTGGCGCTGTTGTTTTGGCAGTCTACTTCCGGATTCACGAACCGGCGACGGGTTCAAGAAAGAAAAGAGGGCGGGGAGGAAGCCACAGCGTGGTGACGTCAGCGCTCCAGAACCCGCTTGGAGTTGCCACGAGCCTCGGGTAACAGATGATGTCATCGGTTTCAAAAACTTCCCTTCAAATGAATCCCCTGAAAAGTGTGTGTGTGTGGGGGGGGGGGAATCTTCAAGATTTTTGTATTTAGTTCTTTTGTTTTTACTGATTCTTGCTTATTTTCCCGGGTTAATTCGAACTTAAGGGTTTTTTATTTTGTTTTCTTTTAACCTCAGACTTCCAGGGGCTTACTGGTGTGAACCACCTTCCAGTGCCCACCTTCCAGAGTCTCTTAATAAATAATTTTCACTCAAATTCAAGGAACTGGCATAACTTTAATCCTAGCAGTCCGGAGGCAAAGGCAGGCGAATCTGAGTTCGAGGCTAGCTTGATCTACAGAGCGAGTTCCAGGACAGCCAGGGTTACACAGAGAAACCCTGTCTCAAAAAACAAAATAAAACAAACACCCAAGGAACTGTACATAAAGAGTTTTACACATTCTGAACTCTTGCTATATTGCATTAAGTAATTTTCCCAATGCAAACATATGATGCTTTCTGGAGGTCCTACTTTTCTCCAGAAATTTTTTTCCAGGTTTAATTTCATTTTTGAGACATATTCATGTAGCCCAGGCTGTTTTGATTCTTCAGACTTAATCTCGAAATTGCTGGCTCTACACTGTCTTTGTTTTATTTAATCCTTACAACTTACTGAGGTCAGGCCTGTTATGAGCTCTGTCTGTCTGGGGTGTACCTCATTGGTAGATCATATAGTCTAGCATACAGGAGACCCACAGCATACAATCACAGTAAAAACATGTGTCTATTAAGTATGGGTTGGATGCTTGGACACATCTTTTTTGTTTTGTTTTGTTTTATGAGAGAGGGTTTCTCTGTAGCTTTGGAGCCTGCCCTAGAGCTACCTCGTGTAGACCAGGCTGGCCTCGAACTCATAGAGATCCGCCTGTCTCTGCCTTCTGAGTGCTGGGATTAAAGGCGTGCGCCACCACCGCCCTGCTACTTGAAAACATCTTAGGCACTTTTTCCCCCTTGTTTTTTCCAGACAGAGTTTCTCTTAGTAGTTCTGGCTGTCCTGGTACTCATTTTGTAGACCAGGCTTGAACTCAGATCCACCAGCCCTTGCCTCCCAAGTGCAGGGATTAAAGGCATGTGCCACCACTGCCTGGCATTTTAGCCTCTGAGAAAAAAAAAATAGGTTTTCACTATATAGCCCTGATAGTCCTGAAACTCTCCATGTAGACCAAACTAGCCTGGAATTCATAGAGATCTACCTATCTGTACCTCCTGAGTGCTGAAATTAAAGGTGTGTACCACCATGTACAGCAGAAAAATTAAAAAAAATATTACATTTTATTGTGTTATTACATTTTATTGTGTATGTGTGTGCATGTACCACAGTGTGCATGTGCTATTCAGAGGTGAACTTGCAAGAGTCAGTTCTCTCCCTCCCATATTGATATTCAAACTCAGGTCATCAGTCTTGACAGCAAGCACTTTTACGCATAGAGCCATCTCATGGGGCCTTAAATTTTTTTCTTTTTTGAGATGGACTCAAGTAGCTCAGGCTGGTCTTGAACTTGCTATATAGCTGGAGAAAACCTTGAGCTTCTGAAACGGCGTTTTTACAGGTTGTGCCACCATGCCTGGCTTCCTGGGTTCATCAGACTCGGGGCTTTGTGCTCCCTAGCCATCACTCAATCACACGACCACGCCTGGCTCACTACTGGATTTTTCTGCTGGGAAAGAATCCGAGTCTCCTTCTCATTTCAGTTATGTTAGAGAGGAATGATCAACTAACCCATTAGCATTGAAGGCATTGGGGCACCTTTTAGACAGGGTAAGATATCTCTTCTTGGGTGTGCAGAGGGCTTAGACAGAAAGATACTGGAAACAAGAAGATAAAAAAGGAGGCCCTTGCCGGGCGATGGTGGCGCACGCCTTTAATCCCAGCACTCGGGAGGCAGAGGCAGGCGGATCTCTGTGAGTTCCAGACCAGCCTGGTCTACAGAGCTAGTGCCAGGACAGGCTCCAAAGCCACAGAGAAACCCTGTCTCGAAAAACCAAAAAAAAAAAAGGGAGGCCCTTGCTATTATTATGGGGAGACCTTTCCTTTTCATTTGTCTATTCATTCTTCTAGTCAACAAATAATAGTATACATGCTAGACAGACTTCCTACATCAATCCATTTTAACCGTATTCAAAACGCAATGATGTAGATGCTATTAACAGTAGTATTTATTTTACACATCACTCACCACTGAGAAGTGAGTATTAGTATTGAAGGCTGTGAAGAAAAGTTCAAGGTCAAAAGGCAAAGTAACACCAACAGTAGGGAGTACAGAGGTACTGTGTCTAGTGTGTGAGACGGAGCATGTCTTCAAAGGCAAGGCATTAAGTGACAGCGTATGAAATGAAAAAATTGGGGTGAAATTATGCAGGATTCTGGTCTTAACATTTGGCTGGCCAGCATTATTTTGACTGCTGGTGGAATTCTTGTTGCTGCCATGCCTGCTGCCTCTTGAAATGTACTTATTTAGAAAGACATTTCTCCAAAATTTTTAAAAAGGTTTATTTATTATGTATAGTATTCTGCCTGCAAGTATGCTTGCATGCCAGAAGAGGGCGCCAGATCTCATTACAGATGGTTATGAGCCACCACGTGGTTGCTAGGAATTGAACTCAGGACCTATGGAAGAGCAGCCAGTGCTCTTAATCTCTGAGCCATCTCCCCAACCCCATTTTTCCAAATTTACAGTGAAAGCCTGAATAAAGGCAGGACTTGAACTGAAGTCCCACTTTCCACAGACAGGGCATAACAAGCGTCTGTGGGGGTCAAGTGTTAGATGTGATCAAGAGACGGGAAGCTGAGTGATGAGGACTTGTGAGGTAGTGATGGGTAAGTTCATTGGTGGAGAGTCTTTGCAGCGAAGCGAATGCCGGGCATTGAAATGTAAGGGACAGAGTTAGCGATGCCTATGGGGCAAATAATGCATGAGTCTGTAGAGAACTGTAGTTGGTTTTTAGTGTGAGTGGTTAGGAATCTGTAGGTGACTGATGAGGTGGCGTCAGGTGCCAGGGGCTGTGTAGACTAATGGGGATCTGCAGACACTGTTGTGCTGGGCTGTAAGGTGAGTGGTGGGGTATTCTGTTGAGAGAGCAGGGCTTGGGGAATAATGGTACAGCTGAGTGAACTATGACAGGGTCTCTGTGGTGAATGGAAAGGCCCATGGAGTGAGAGTTTTATAGGGTTCATGATGGGTGAGTCTGTGGAATGAATGATTAGGGGTCAGGACGCTAAATGATTCAGGGAAAGATCTGTGAGGTGAATAGGATGTGTAATTAGTGATAGGGCCCATGGGGCTGTGATGAGGGATTCTGTAGGGCTAGAGATTGGGGATATTTAGACTTGTGGTGGGGAATTTTACAGTGAGTACTGAGAGGTTCTTTGGCTCTGTGTAGTAGTGCTGAGGATATAGGCTGAGTAATCAGGGTAATGCAGGTCCAAAAACATTCATGTTGAAAACCGGGCGGTGATGGCACACACCTTTAATCCCAGCACTTGAGAGGCAGAGGCCAGCCTGGTCTACAGAACAAGTTCCAGGACAGCCAGGTCTGTTATACAGAAAAACGCTGTCTCGAAAAGAAAAACTAAAATAAAAATGATTCCCAGTAACTTATTTTGTAACTATATTTGGAGGTAGGGCCTGTAAAGAGGTGATTAAGTTAAAATGAGGCCAGTAGGTTGAGTGCTAATGAAAATCTGACTGGTGTCTTGATAAGAAGCAGTTAGGACATAGACATGGTTTACAAGGAGGGCCAACCCTATGAAGACACAGTGAGACATAACCATGTGCAAGCCAAGGAGAGCAACTTCACAACCATCAAGCCTGACGAAATGAACGTGACCCATCAGCCTCTGGAACTGAGAAAACATGGTTTTTGCTGTTTGTACTGTGGATTAAACAAAGGACCTTGCACAAACTAGCTCAGTACTCTACCATGGATTTGTATCCAATCCCTCATTTTTTGCTTGTTTTTGTTTTGCAAGATAGGATCCATCCATAAAGCCCTGGCTGTTCTGGAACTTGCTATGCAGATCAGGCTGGCCTCAAAACCCAAAGATTTGCTTACCTCTGCTTCTTGAGTGTAGGATATGCCTGGCTCTCTTTTTACTTTTTGAGACAGGGTCTCACTAAGTTGCCAAGGCTGGCCTTAAACTTGAGATTCTCTTGCCTTAGCCTATCAAGTAGCTTACTCCACCAGCCCCAGAAAATTCCTGTTGTCTTAACCACATGGAAGCCAGGCACAACACCTGTAACCCTAGTACTTAAGAAATGGAGATATGCCGGGCGATGGTGGCGCATGCCTTTAATCCCAACACTCGGGAGGCAGAGGCAGGCGGATCTCTGTGAGTTCCAGGCCAGCCTGGTCTACAAAAGCTAGTTCCAGGACAGGAACTAAAAGCTACGGAGAAACCCTGTCTCAAAAAATCAAAAAAAAAAAAAAAAGAAAAGAAAAGAAGAAATGGAGATATGCCGGGCAATGGTGGCACACACCTTTAATCCCAGAACTCAGGAGGCAGAGGCAGGCGGATCTCTGTGAATTCGAAGCCAGCCTGGTCTACACAGCAAGTGCCAGGACAGGTTCCAAAGCTACACAAAGAAACCCTGTCTCCAAAAACAAAACACAAAGAAATGGAGGCAAGAGATCAGGAGTTGAAGGTCAGTATCAGTTATATGAACAACTATCTACATATACCCCCATCC